GGGACCAGGATGGGTGTGTGCCCGAAATGCCAAGCCCACCTTCCCAAGCAGGCCCTACTGAGGCACAGAAGAAGCCAAGTCTAGTTGCTCCCAGTCACCGAGTGACCTGGGGATGCCTGGGTGGAAGATGCCCAGGCTCATACTGGTCCTGAACATCAGGCCCTGCAAGGGAGCCAGGGGCAGGAGGTTCCAGGAGTGGCCACCCCCTCATCTGCTCCGGAGGAAACAGTATCCAAGCCCATCTGCCCAGCTCTCTGCCCCTTGCCCTCCGCCACCCCAGTGGGCCAGCAGACCATGCGAGCAGCAGGTGCAAGACGCGGGGGTGGCACTGAGATGACACAAAAACACACTCGCCCCCACCTCCTAAACCCTGCCGGCCTCCGCCACGGCCCTCTTGCCACCCCAGGCTGGCGCTTCCGTTTGGATATTGAGATGGAGGTGGGGGAGCAGCTAGCTGCCCGCCTCCCTCAGACTGAGGGGTGGGAGGCGGCGCCGGGAATGTCCTTCCTCGCTCGTCCGCGGACGCAAGGGAAGAGGGGGCCCCCAGGCCGGCCCTCCTGCCAAGGACGCGGCTCCGCAGTGGCCCGGGAGGGGGCCGAGGCCGGAGGCGGGAGGCCGCAGCCCCCAGCCCCACCCCGCCCTCCGGCCCCGCACGGCGCGCCCGCCAGGCCCCGGCGCCCGCCGGGCGGCGGCCTCGGTACGCGGTCCCGCCCCCGGCCAGGCCCTGCTTACCCGGGGCGCTGCAGTCCGCACACACCTCCGCTCGCGGCCCCTTCCGGGACATCCTCAGCGGCGACGCGGCCGCAGCCCTCTGGGCCAGCGTGGGGGGCGCGGGCGGCGGGCCCGGGCGGCGGCGGCCCCTGTTGCCCGGCCCGGCTCCAGCAAGGCCCCGGCTAGGCTCCGCGCGCCCGGCCAACCGACCGCCCCCGGGGCTGGCCCGGAACCCGCCGTGCCCGCCTGCCCGCTCGCCCTCGGGCGCCCTCCGCCCCGCGCCGCCCCGCGCCGCCCGCCGCCGCTCGCCTCTCGCTCTCTCCGCCCCTTGCGCGGCTCCCGGCCGCTCCTGCAGGAAACGGCGCAGGCCCTGCCCACCGGGGGAGGGGCAGTCCGCACACCCGCCCCGCCGACCGGCCCTGCCGGCCGCGCCTCCCAGAGAAAGGAAGCCGGGAGCGCGGGCGGGAGGGGGCGGGAGCGCTTAAAGGGACCGCGGCCGCCGCCTGGCCCGAGCGAGCAGTCGCCTGCGGCCCTGGCCCCAGCTCTGGCGCTCCTTTGCCCCCGAGGTAGTGTGAGTTACTCTCACAGCCCTATCCCTTTCACTTTCGAGATGGGGGAGCGGCCTGGGAAGTCGGGCCCTGGGATAGTGGCCCCTGGGAATCAGGGAAGAGAGTAAGGAGCTAGAGGTTCAGGCCCCCTTCTCGTCGAGGGGCTGTGGTTTGGGGTACCCTCTTATCTCTTGTTGGGGTAAGGTATGCGTCCTGGTCCCGCATGTGTCCACATCTGCGTGTCCAGGTGTGTGTGTGTGTGTGTGGTCACACCCTTGCTGACTATGCACACCGCCAACAATATGGTCGCCCAGGTGCCAGAGAGGTCATGCAGTGTATCGCCCTACCTCCGGCATTTCTCAATGCTTCCATCCAGAGAGCAAAGAATCTGGGCGATTTTTACAGACCTCCCGAGGAGTGACACACTGTGCCTGTGTGCAGTAATATCCACTTGTCACCCGCCTTGTATACATCCATGGTGTTTCTGGGCCACCCGAGTGTGTGTCCAGGGCATGTGCGTGTAACATATAGGGTTTTTTTGTTGTAGCAGCCTTTCTTCCTGGACTTCACACGGAGACTCGGCGGGGTGGTGGTGGGGGACAGGGAAGCAGAGGCGCATGCCGCACGTGGGTGTACCCCAGCACTGAGCATGCTCCCCCATACACGTGTGCCCCGCGTGCACCCAGCCCCCATCCCTGCAGCAGCAAAAGGCCAGAGCACTCTGCTTGTGGGGAGGGGGCAGGACCAGGCCTGGGGCCAGGTCAGTGGTGACACGATTAAGAGAGAGTTCCCAAGCGGCAGGGAATCCTGCTCAGTAACGGGTGAGAGAGGGTGGGGAGTGGCGGAGGGAGTCCTTGGGCAAGGGTGCCGGAGTTGGTCGATTTTATCCCAGCGGTGCCAGAGCAGCAGTGACTTGTGGGTGGACTGGCTGCTTCCCTGGGGTAGACAAGTAATGCTCATGAGTCACATCACCCAAAATACATGCAAAGCTCCCTCCATTGCCTTTCGCTGCAGCCGAGATTGACAAGTTTGTTTGAAATCGCGATCCACGGGATATATTTATAATCACACCTTAAAAAAAAAATCTTCTTGTAGGCTTCCCCTCCCCCCACAGCCAGCCGCTGGCTGGCGGGGCTTCTGCAAGCAAGGATATCTCGCGGAGTGGGGGTGGGGGTGGGACATCACCTGCCTCCCAGTGCTGCACCCTCACAGAAGAGTCAGTCCATGGGCTTGGTGGCCCCAGACCCAGCAAAGGGGGGAGTGGCCTGGCCGCCAATACCGGGCGCAGAGCCCACCAGCGGTGGCCGCGGGTTCACCCGATCGACCCCCAGCTATGGAATTTCATTTATTAAATGTCGAGGCGGCTGCTGGCAGCTCCATCGCTTGGCTGTCTTTGTTTCTCTGCTGTGTGGGCGCGTCTCGAGCACGTGGCAGCTGGAGCGCGCACAGGCCGGAGGAAAAGCGACCTGGGTTTAGAGTGGGTTATGGCTGCCTGGCAAAAGGAGAGCCGGCCCACCAGGGGTAGGCCTACCAATCCCTCCTTCCTTGGAGCTCCAAGACTTTTCAGGGGGAAAGGGGTGATTCACCCTGTCCCACACAGCCCGGGCCCCATCTGGTTGGCCCAGGACTACCTGGGAGTGGCCCAGGCACCGAGCCACTCTCCAAACTTTGTTCCGGAAACCCCCGCCCGGCCACAGCCGAACTTCTGGGCCTGGGGCTAGGGATAAAAGGGTTTCAAGATTTCCCTTTGGAGATGTCGTCACCTCAGGAAGCAGGACAGTTGGAGAAATCACACACAAGGTTTCAGAAACAATTTAATAAGGAAATGTACAGGCATTCTACCGGCCACTCCTAGCAGCGGCCCCTCCCCAGTTCCAGCCCCCTCCTCAACTCCAGCTTCAGCCACGACACTCTGCTGACCCCTCGTGGTAGAGGTGGGCAGAGGTCCCCGGCTGCCAGAGACGCCGGCTGGCTCCTCCCAGGCTGGAGAAAGGGGCGAGGCCGTCCACTCCTTCCTTATCCTTCCCCGCCCGAGCCTGGCACTGCTGGGTGTGGAGGAGGAAAGAGAGAAGACCACACAAAGAAACCTGAGAAAGGCGCAGAGAGTTTGCAAGCTTTTGCTAGCACCTCCCACACAAACACTTCTTAGATTGTTTTAAGTAGGGCTGGTGTGGAATTCCTTATTCTAAGGTGGGCTCGAGAAGGCGCTATGTATGCCTGATCCCCACCACCTGTCAATCCGCCTGGTTAGGGAAGGGATGCGCAGTTTTCAGGGCAGTTACTATCCTTAGCTCACCCCAGGAGGCATTCTCATTTTAGAGGTCTGAGAAGCCAGAAAATTTAAGCAGTTTGCTTAAGGCCAGGCAATTAGTAAGAAAGAATTAGAACTCAGGTCTCTCTAACATCTCAGTCCCTCCTCTCTCCAGGGACTAGGACAAGCCTCTAGGTCCTTCCCACCCTTGCAATAGGGCGGCCCTTGCAATAGGCATCCACTGAGGCCAAATCCACTTTTACCATAGAGTCTGCAGGGACCCTTCTGGAAGGACCTCTCTGCCCTGGGGTTATTCAGGAAGAAGGCGGTCTCTGGAATCAGTCACTTCCTCTTTTGAAGGGATCACACAGGGTGGAGGTGGGGAGCTGCCACCTGCTGCTTTCTCTGCCCAGCCCCTCTCTCGCTCCTTGCAGAGGACAGTGTATGGAGGAGGGGCACTGTCCTCCCAGACTTAGTGGACATTCTCTTTCAATGTCAAATGTGAGAGATGGAGTTTAATTTTATTAGAGGGCAGGGAAGACTCCTATGTAATTGTTCAGGTGCCAGATCCCTGATTGCTCCAATGACCCTTGATACTAATGTCCCTCACCTTTCTCAGAAGTCCCGCATCAGTCTCTCTTTTTGGGGGAATCTAGATCCCTCCTCACGATCCACTGGGACCCAAACTCGATCTTGAAGGCCACACCTTCCCGCACCCCCCAACGCTGAGGCGAGGCCTGTAGTCCCCTCCCACCCCAGCAAAAGGCAAAATGTCAGCGGTGGGGTTGCGCCCTTGTCCATCTGGCATCAGAACGCTGCCTCCGTTTCGGCCATGCCTGATTCCCTCCCCACGCTTTCATGAGATGAGGGGGACAGTGCGGACCCTCTCCGGCCACTCACCACCCCCGGTTCTACGAGGTGGACTACAAGCCCCATGATGCCGCGGGGCCGAGCTCTAACAAGCTCTGCCCGGGGCACCCGCGTCCCCTTCCTCTCTCTCCTGCACCCCCGCATCCCTGGCCGGCCGCTCGGGCTGAGGGCCGGGCTATGCGGCTGCGGGGAGCCGGGGGCTGCGGGCGCGCGTCCCTGCGGCGGCGGCCGCGTCCCCGGGGCCCGCGCCCCGT